CTCCCCCAAAACATCCAGAAGCAAGGGAGTTATGGGCTGAGCACGCCATATAGACCCGGGGAAATGAATTGATTTTGTACCTTTTTTGACAAAATGGAATCTGCCACCTATTGCTGTCGTTCCATTACTTCTAGGTTATTTTGCATTGATGTGCAGTATCCCCACATGTTTGCAGGTTCTAGTTTTACTGCTGTTTCGATCTCAGAGGTCTTCAGAAAGAAAGCAATTTATATAGGATACGACTTCAGGGTATTTTAATACCCTGTACCAATATACTGAAGCAATTGTAACAGAACTTTACGGCAATGGTAATCAATGACAAAGAGCTGTTTTCCTCTTTTGAATCAGTTCTGCCCAGGGTAAGGACTTTCCCTCTATTCTGACTAGAAAGTTGCATTGAAAAATTACGGTTTCTACTCCCAAAAAATGCGTCGAATTTTTTTCTCATGAGATCTAAACTCTAAACGGAGTCTCTACGTGACGATATATAGTCAAAAAAAAGGACAGAAGATTAAAATACATCGCACCAATTTAGTATTTATGATCTGGAGACCCTGTAAAATGATACTCCATCTTTCCGCTGAGTCAGTAAATGTTTAGTTCTAGTGACTGAGGTGCTTTCAGAATACGACGTTTTCGTTTTCAATTACGACTGCACTGCTTCATTAACTTCTGAACTGATAGTAAGTCAGCAAGCATTTAGATAGCTTTCAAGTCGGACATAAATTTTGGAATTGTTCGACAGAAACCGATGTGCTGGGGCGCAAATAACGTCTTACGGGTAAACTAGATTGCGCTATCGGATCTGTAATCCATCACGGCAACAAAGTTTTGAATGTTTTAAAGCACGATACAGATTTTTGACAAGGCGTCTGCCTATCTGACAGAATGGATCCATGTGGTGCGCGAAGTTCACAAACTTTGCGAAGTTTGAAGCAAATGTCGAATCACTCAATGAATAATTCATTCGCGTCTCCTTGCGGGACTCGCGTTTCGCTTTTACGACGATTTTGATCGAATCACATGTTTTCAGACGTCTTCAGGAAATATTAGCTACTTCTTGGTGACTACTGATATAAAAAGTCTTTCTTGCTAGTAGTATAGAATATGGTCGTTTGTAATATGGCAAAAAGCGTTTCAAAATTCAGCACTGCGTGTAACAAGAACCAGTCCGGCAGGCAGATG